GCGGGATTGCGTTTTTTTTCTGCCTCAACTCGTTATGTCACTTTTTGCGCTCGGAGCAACTCACGAAGATGACGCTATCATTTATAATAAGAAATGTTTTTAATATTATTTATTTTTGTTTTAATATAGCGTTGGACGCCAAGACGTGGGAAAGAGTTTCCTTTAGCCGTCTTCAAAAACCCGGCGATTATGTATTTTTGTTTATTCTTTGCTATTATTATAAAGAGGTTAAGTTTGTGAGGTTGTATAGGTGATCTCTGGCTGTACTGAAGGAAATTATTTTACAAATAGAAAGCTGCGTTTTTTGTAAGTGTCAAAAGCGTTAATAACCCGAAAAATTCAAAGACTTTTTTGTGGTAATCGGATTTGCAGTCAGTGAAAATATGGTCGAACGATAACGTCTCTTACGAACGCTGTCCTAACTGCAAGAGATATACTACTATATATGTATGATTGAATTATGTCTTCATATATAATATATATATATATAAAAACAACCCCCGCGTCTGACTGTTCGCGATCATTTCAATATATGTATACCTACTGCACGGAACTGATTGCGGTTTTCAACCAAATCTAGACCGGGTATAAAATAACTATGTTTGATGTCATAACACCTGTCAGACAGACAGGGTAATTTATATTTTTCGCATAGTCTTCTTTCTATTATTTCTATAATATTTTGGACTCTTGGTTGGCGCTCTTCGATTAGCTATTTCGTATGTGTCAATGCACTGAGACCTTCAAGAAAAACATTGACGTCACTATTATTCTTGGTATGTGAACTGCACAAGTTAGATCTGTACGGAACACAATTTCTTTATTTGACAGCCTTATGTTTGATATTCAAAATCGATACCTCCTAATCCACCGTGAAAGGGTAGGGGAGCCCAAGAGGGGATTTCGGGATTTACTAAAGCGCGGCAGATTACTATATAGGGGGATACCTTGTACCCGGTTAAGTACCTCCACAAAATATGAGGCCCATATATAAGGCCGCGCGTGAAGGAGACAGGATCAGATTAGTAAAAAAAAATTGACCATCAGAAATTCCCGAGCGCGTCAGATTAAGGTAGGGTGAGTTAATTACATCCTAAAAAGTGTATATTCCACTAATCTGACAATTTGAGAGTGACGGAAAAAAGGGGAGGGCAACAAAGTTGTAAAAAAAACGTCATCTCGACATTCTCGAGCGTAGCTAATTTTTCTTTTATTTTGAAGGAAATAATTCCAGAATAATGAAAAATATATAATCTGACGATTTCCGCAAGCCGAAATAACAAAAATTCGTCGATAAAGTTAAATGCGTGCAGCTGCGTGATGCCTACATTTCCTTAAACCGATCGGAATCTACTAAACGGCGTTCAAAATATTTCCCTCAAAATTACATTTCCTGTGAATTTGAACCGATTCGGACCGATAGATTTTGAGAAATTTTGAAAAATCTTAAAAAAATAAGAAATATTTTTTTTAAGTGGTTTCTTTATCGATCAACTTCAAAAACTAATCCGCCTTTGAGCTTGAAAAACCACGTCGATCGCCACCAAGCTGGTCAAAAGCGGTTGATTCGTTCGAGAGATATCGTACATGAAAGAAACCCGAAAAGTGTTTTTTCGGGATTACTCCGAAATTTGTGGTTCGATCAATTAAAATTGCAAAATTACTTATGAGAATGATAAAACTGCGTCGAATGCCGCCAACCGCGTGAAAATTGCTTGATCCATTCAAAAGTTATTGCGGTTTGAAAATTCCAAAAATAGTGTTCTATGAAACTTCTATCAGACTTTCGAGCTGGGAGAGCTCAAATGCATAGAAATGTTATTTCTTTGAACTCAGCGAGCTCAAAATATCAATTTTAAGCGCCCAGGAATGGAATTAGCGGGAAGTTGCAGGGATGGCCCTTTAGGTGAACCGTTTTTCTATTTTTTTTTGTCAGATCAGGCGAATCCCTCTAGATAATCGTCAGATTATGAGACAGTACGTTTAGAACATAAAGATGAACCACATATATCTTAATCTGACGCGCTTGAGTATTTCAAAATTGCGATTTTTTTTGCAAATTAAGAAAATGGCTGTGGGTTTGCGTCCCATCGAAATCGTCAGATTAGTGAATGAGAGATTTTTTTTGGTGCACTTAACACTCCCTTAGAAAATCTGACGCGCTCGATAATTTTTTTTTTTTTAATTTTCAACCCTTAAATACAACCACCCGCATCATGCAAACGATCAGATTAACATACGTACATTATTAAAAATACGTAGGGCATAGATGCTATCAATATCTGACGCGCTCGAGGATGTCCATGCAACAGTTTTTTTTTACATATTTAACTATCTATAGCCGCTTCCCCCACCGATGAAAAGGAATTTATCATATAACATTTTTTTCTTCTTTTTATCTAAGCTTTGTATCCCAATAGGTCTCTACGACGCTCGAGTAAATCCCCATTTAGCATCGTGGGCTCCCCTACCAAAAGGGAAAAACTCAAAAACTGACTGACAAAATTATGCCCAACTAATATCTATATATATTTCGGAAATATTAATTAAATAAAATGTTCAAGCCGGGCCAGGCCACTAGTAGAGAATAGTTTTACCGTATTGTTGATTTTCATTACGGCAATTTTAATTAAATAAGATGAAATTTTAATTATTTTTTAACAGCATGGTAACGGGTTGAAAATCTTAATAATAAAATTACAGCATTGCAAACCTTTATAAGGAAAGGAAAATCTTACATACATTTTTCTTCCTCGTAGATTTTTATATAAAAGACATATAACATTTACCAGAGAATAAAAACGCGGCTTTTGACAATTTTGTACATCAGTGCAAAATTAATACCGACATTTTGTTTGTTTCACACATTTGCCACAATTCATATATATAGTCTATGATTTTCCATAAAAAATGGTGTTTAGGCCGGACACTACGAATGATGATACTCATTATTGTAATAGACTCTGAAGGCCAATACGAACAAGAAATACCTAACGCCGCAGATCCTTAATGAGGTCATATCAAGACAATTGATCAACAAAAGATCTACATTGATAACGATCATGTATTAACAAAGAATCCTTACTGTCTAATTAACTGTAGGTATTACCTCATAGTACGTAAGCAATTGGTTATTTTTCAGTAATTTGCGCCGGTTAATACTATACAACGATGTATTGTTTAAGTTGTTATATGTAAAAATTGTTTTTCAACGAAAATATAATGTAAAAGTCAAGATAGAAAAATCAATTACACCGGTACCCACATTGTGAAAGAGTATCGAGTCTTTATGTCTAGGCAAATGCTTTGGTAGATATAGGTGTGTTACTTAGATAAAGACAAAGATAACTTAATGTTTTTTAAATTATACTTTTAAATTAAACATTTATATGCAGTTTACCGCTCCATTTATTAAAACAAGTAGACGATGTAGTTAAAAATATGGCTGAAAAATATTCAGCGCAGGCTCTGTCCTTGCTTATCATTCAAACTCGTTGAAGGGTCTGCGATTTCCAAAATATTAATTCTGAAACCTACCTTCGACATCGCTCCGTTCACGTTACAAATTCGCCATTAAATCACTTCATTATGAAATCGCCGTTCAGTCGCCTTGAATTAAATAATTACAGCGCATTGATTAAACGCGCAATGTCCATATCACATTTCCAAGACACTGTTCCGCGGCAGAAGCCCGATCAATACTGGGTTATGTCGTCGTTCGCGGACCATATAAAAAATATGCCTTGTACGCGTGCGCGCGCAATCTCTTGTTGACTGACGTTTGCTATGCCATCCATATAGATGTAGCCTGTAGGTACCATAAAAACTACCGGCGAATTGGTCTTCCTGCCTAACTCGCTAAGTCAAGCGAACCGTAACCAAACGAGGCCATTGTAAACTAATTGTAACAAAGTATAGAAATATTGCTAAAATGTTCATACATACGTTAATAAATCGTATTAATTAGGTATGTATATATGTAAGAGAAGTACCTATACCAAAACGTGCATTTAACAATAAGGTATCAATCAACAAATTTGAATATAAAAAAGTGCAATGTAAAAAGAAACGTTGACAATGGGCAGCATATAAAAATCTACTGTATTGTGAAGCTTATTATATTATAATATAATAAGTACCTATATAAATTGACGAATGACGATATAAATTATTTGTATTATATGTATTAATATAATAACCTATATATAATGAGTATATAATAAGTTAATAGTATCTACCTACATTCAATTAAATCCTAATATTGTAATAAAAATAATGAAAAATGTTCTTTTGTTTTTAAATCTTGTCCATTTTGTAATATCTACCTAATCTTCTAGCTGTTAATCATTCTTATAATCTGCATCTAAAATTATTTTGTTTTAATGACTTAAATCAATCCGATATTGATAAACAAAATGAAAAAGTTAGTTAAAATAATAATTGTATGTTGGAATAATGATTAATGAAAGTTGAAACATAAACGGCGCCAGAATCGCTCTCATCAGCGTGCTTGCGCTTTAGTGATTACTACCACAGAAAATTAATAGGCTTGTTACATTCATATAGCGAGGATTACGAGTATATGAATGTAATTAATTAATTGCATAAATTAATTTACGAATGATTTGAGGGTTAACAATTGGTATTGGAAAAGGACTATTATCCTGACAGTGTGACCTATACATTAAAATCAAAGTGAAATATTGACAATTGACAAGTGAATCATAAAAAATATTCAGAAGTCATAAGTCATAACACAAAACATTAAACAATATTTATTGGTATTTCAGCATTATTATTTAATTTTTAACACGAATTTTCAAAATTACTTATAGGTAGTACATTATTAAGTAAAATAAAAAAAATGAATTGTGAAATTGTTTGAATAGGAAAGTTAATAGATGATATTATTAAAAACTTATTGGTATCCTGTTGTTTTAGGCATAACATACGGAATCAGCAAAATAAAACTATTATGTACTTAGATTTTCGTCCCAATAATGTCTCAGGATATTTTACCCCAAGGAGCAAGTAAATCCAATAAGAAATGGGACAGGGACACGGTTGTGCCGTTCATTTTATTACCACTTCTGCTATTGATAGCAACAATGTCTCTTACCATCACGATAATTGTTATGATTTTTATTGGAATGGGCGCCTTATATGTTCAATCACGTCCTAGACAGAAAAATCGGTTAGTCAATACTTTCCTTAACTTGCTGAAATGCTTCACTGCAAGGAATATAGAAGCAAAATTATTATACACACTTATGAATTTGTTATTATTTCAGGTCCCCTTTCTTCTATTCATGGACATTGTCATCTGGAATTTGTATGTTTCTTGTGTATGAGCTAGGGGTTTTATCATTACTGCAAATAACTCAATTAGAAAACTTTATATTTTTATTACTGTTGGCTGGAACATGTTATTGTTTCTATAGGATGAAAGCAATTGCTGATCATGAATTATATTTGGGTACAAAAGGTAAAGAATACAGGTAGGTTTTTTACTTTTACCAGTTTTAAAATTTAAAAAATATGCTCTAAATGTCTTTAAAGTTTTTGATATCATTTGATCTAGAAGTATAATAACTATTAGCTGTATGTAACATTTTATTGCATATTTAACTCATTACTAAGGAAAGCAGTGGAATATCCTCATAAAAAAATTTAATTTAATTATTTTAATTTTATTTTATTTATTTTTTTTAATTAATCCCACAATCTGAATAGCAATTAATATTTATGACAATTTAAATAAAATAAATATATTTTTTTCAGTCCTGTATTAACTTCCGATTCATATTACTGCCAAGTCTGTCAATTGGAAGTAAATGAAAGATACTTTCACTCTATTTGGTAAGCATTTTAAACATTCTCTAGTCTGTATGTATTCTCTCTATCCAATTTTATTCTTCTTGCAATCATTTTTGACTAATCCTATATATTGCCTTTAAAAGTTTAGTTATCTAGGTTTAGGTTATTATAAAGAAAAGCCAATCTTAATGTCGAAAACTAGAAAAAAACATTGAAATCTATTTAATTACATTAAATTTCTTCTAATGTTTAAATTATGAATGTTACAGGTGGGATTGTTGTATTTTCAGACCAAATTACATTTATTTTGTATATGGGCAAATATTTGCATTTGCAACACTTGCTTTTGGTGCTAACTTGGGACTCACAACAATATGTCATCCCATGATTTTGTACGGCTCACTGATGATACCTGAAGATTGCACTGATGCTTATTTTGAATTTAAGTAAGTATTTTTTACTATTTTCTTAAGTATAAATGCTTGCATGTGAGGCGATAAATGATTTTGCCAGGAATCAATCTTAGGATTTGAAGCATTGAGGGACTTTTCATATGTCATCAAATGTATTAATTCAATATTTTTATTGATAATGTGAAGTTAGTTCTATGTTATAGTTAAATATAAAACAGATCATTAAATAAATCTGATGGTCAGCCTGGTAAATAAGTTGCTAACAGGGTAAACACATTACAATTAATCTTCTGTGTCTCTCAGTATGAAAACAAAAATTTCTGCTGGGCATCAACCATTGACAATTCAATGGGTTTGACACATTAAAACCGATCCTTAGATACCTCAGCTATGGAGACAGTAGAAAATGTTCCTTAAGTATATAACTTTGATTCTCTAATTATTTTTGTTTTCAGCTATGCATTATGCTTTGTATCATGTGTTTATGCAATTGGGTACTTATCAGTAATTGCCTTAGTTATTCTCCAACAACTGTTTATCTACCTTCCAAAGTATTTTGGTAAGTATACCTAGCCATTACATTATTAAACTTTCTTTTGTTTTATTTATACTAAAATTGGCCATAGTTAAAGAAAAAATGAATAAATCTAAGAATCATGGCTACTGGTATTTTGTATATAGAATGTCAATCACCATTTAATCTAGTTTTTAGAGTGTTGACACATTTTTCAAGATGATGTACCCAGGGCCGCGCCGCCCATATGTGCAAAGTGTGCGGTGCACACAGGCGCTAATACAATAAGGGCGCCGCCACCGAAATTATTTATACTACACTACAATATTCTTACGTACGTTTGAAGTTTCATTTTACGCTTTAGGTTTTAGTTTACATTAATTACTCAGAGCTTAGCGAATCAAAAGAAAGGCCGCTGGTGACCGCCGTGAGTTTTTTGAGTGTGTTTATGTCTTATGATTTCAATAATATGCCGACATACCTTGATAAAATCCGAAATGAACTACATACATAGTTTTTATACTCGGTAACCAAATTCAACATTTTATTTTAAATTTATGTCGAATTAATAAATATTTTTCAATAATACTGGATTGTACTACTGACATTTCACACGAAGAGCAAATTAGTATGATAATAAGATTTGTCAACTTTAACACGTAAACTAGAAAGTTAAGAATAAGAGAGCATTTCCTAGCTTTCCAATTTATAATAGCAATTTCTGCCTAATCGTAGATACAACTGGCGCTGGAGAAACGTCATTTATAATAGAAAAACTAAACGAAATTAATTTGGACATAAAGAACTTAAGGGGGCAAGGCTATGATAATGGCTCAAATATGCGCGGTAAGAATATTGCGGGATCTAAATCTCCGCACTTTTTATGTCCGTGCGCCAGCCATAGTTTAAATTTAATAATAAATGACGCTGCACATCTCTTACACGACTGGGTTTTTTAATATTGTGCAAGAACTATATAAATATTTTTCGTCCTCTACTAAAAGATGGGATTTATTACAAAGATATGTCATAAATCTGACCTTAAAAACGGTTAGATAAAAATAACATCATAAATAAACTATGTAACAATTTAATTCACGTTTTATTTTTCACGGCAATTGGCCAGCGGACGTTTTACCTATTTAAGTGGATTAAACTAAAGAAATTTTTTCTTTCGGTCAAAATTAAAAAATACATTGAAACTTGAAGATTCTTAAAAAATTGGCCGAAATATAGAAGGAGTTCCCTCAAAGGCCTGCAAAACACCCGCTAAAAATGTCTATGAGGTTCAATGACTGCCATTTTTGTCCGTCCCTAAGGCTCGTTTGCCCCCTATAGAAAAAGGAGGCGCTTCATGGGTTTCGCACACAGGCGCTGCCGGGGGTCGGCGCGGCCCTGGATGTACCTTTTGATGATAAAATCGTATTGAGATGGTTACTTTAGATATGAATAGGAATATTGCACGAGGAGAGTATATAGAGAAAATTTGTTTATTATTTAATTTTAGTTTTTTTTAGATTAATGCCAATATGTTATTCTAGCTAGCTGGTTTTTAATTTCCTGTATAGTTTTTTGAAAGTCTAGAACGTGACGTGTAGCAAAACATATTATTGTTTTCCTACAAAAATATGAGTAAATATGAACTAAATTATTACTACGTAATTATGTAACTACTAATGTTACATCTAGTTTAACGAATTTCATCTCTTTGACGTATTTTTACGACATTGGGCGAGTTAAGCTGTAATAAATGCATGTAAATTTATATTATTAATAATATTTTACGTTTGTTTTAGCACCACAGTGGAGAAGGCTGATTGATGTTTGAATTTTAGTTTTGGAAAAATTCAAAAGCTTATATGCCTTACAATATTTATTTTATAAAGTTTCAGGAGTGGTATATTAATTCATAAGCCTATATCAGCGTATATACTACAATAGTATGATTACTATCGACATCTCGATAGCCTAGTCATTCTACTTAGGGCTGTAATTTTGCAGATGCTTTTGCAATGCTTAGAAAATTGGTGGTTTTACACTGAAAAGTGTTTGTCTTTGTGTGAGCAGTATTTTTTTAATATATTATCAAATTTACTCGAAAACGCACCTGGGTAAAGTGGCGAAATACATTCAATAAAATAGATATAATATGTCCTGTGTTAATCAAGGTCGGGTAATTTATTTCTTAATTTATACCTTATATAAAAAACGTACAATGATGATAAGTAACGCGGTGTTTAAAAGTTACACAGTAACAGTATTAAATAAAAAAAAGGGTGCGTGTACTTATGTACGCGCGTAAGAAGTTATACTTCTTTGGCATTATTAAAAATAGTTTTTGATTGCATGCAAATAATTAATTACAATTAAATAATCAAAGACTGGAAAAGGAGTCATTATAGTCAATAAAGTTCAGTTTACATTTGAAAAATTAAATAAATATTTATTATTATAATATTCTCAATAATAATATTGTATTCATTCTTTTACATTAAGTGTAACATAAATTCTATTATTATTCGAATGTTGTTTTTAAATTATGTCCAATGCCGTAGCATCTTCCGTGGGCAACTTCATACTGATAATTTTGTGTCACGGTGCGCGCGCATCGTAAAATTTCACTCTCATCAATGTTTCATAACGCGCCTAAAGAAGTATAACTTCAAAAAATTGTGATTGATACTCAGACTCCTGGGCTCATGACCGCGTCCCTTCGTGTTATAGCCGGTCTTAAAAACTAAAAATAGCTATTATCATTGGCAAGTGATGTAAACTTGAGTCATTGTGCATAGTAAAATACAGCAAGCAATAAATTCATCACAAGTACGAAAATGCACAGCAATAATGAACAATCTTGCTACTGATCATGGCTCTTCAATAGCTGTTTTATAGCCATGTCGCTGATTAAAATTTCCATACAATATTCGCTATACGTATCAATTATTACAATAAAGTATAATAATTAATATTACGTCCACCAGACTCAGTACTTTTAAGATCCGACAAAATTCAAATGTTTAAACATTTTTGACAGTGACGTATTGGATATATGTACTTAAAGTTCTGTCAGAACTAATGGCGGGAATAGTACTTTCCTATATTTGTTTTTTTTAAGATTATGTTTAAAGATAAGAAAATCAAATATTTCATCATAGTCGTAGAATAGTGACGGATCTGACAAATAGTAAAGTTTACAGGGCAGCCATTTCAAAATAATATAATCATGTTAGTTTTTGTCATAATTATTTTAATTCATAAAATTGGCATACAAGCAAACAAAAGGGTTTGTTTTGAAACAAAATAAAAATAATAACATTAAATTACACAGTTTTCTAGAAAAATCACATGTTTCAATCAAATCCGTCACTTAAACAACTGATTAATTTAAATTTAAAACATGGATATTTTTTTAATGTAGCCCTAATATTTAGTCAATGTAGTATCCAAATATGATAAAAAGTGGATTTTGGATTTTTTTCAAATCCGACATTGTTCTACGATCATGGCGATTTTATAAAATAAAAATAATTTATTACTATCGTATTGTTTATTATAAAACCCTTATCCAATAAAAACGTTTACCTTCCCTTAATTACTAATGTAAATTGAATGTCCCATGCTCAGGAAATGCACTGTCATGAAATCAGTCTTCTGGGGGGCTATAATCTGGTAGTACCAGCATGACTTTCTGTCTCCATTTACGTTTGCGAGCCTCTTGGTCTCGCTTGAGCGCATTCAACGCAGGCAACGCCCTCCAACATGTGAAAGTCTTGAAAATAACATTACTGAAAAACAAGCATACATTTAAATTTTAAATAATAATTGTTGGCGTTTTTAAATTGTCCGATAAAAACTCGATTTATTCTTTGTATTACTGTAAAACCTGTCGAATCCAGATTCTGTTATTGTTCATAGGTCAAAAAGAGTCGAGACTTGCGCGCAGTCTGACGGGGGCATTGCGCTTGGCATTTCATATCAAGCAGACTTCTTATCTGCTATCGGGCCTGAATAAATAAGCATTTTTTTTTTTTTTTGCTTTTTACTTGATTAATGAGTAAACGATGTTTATTAGAGAACAGTAATAGTTTTTTTAGAAAATACGTGAAATGCCTGACATGTCAAAATCCATTTAGTTTTTCTTTTCTCTATTATAATAATAATAGGTAGCGGCACCAACAAAGAATATTTTTTTAATAAAACAATCGAAGGTCAAGTTCATGTCATTTGTTATTTAGTTCAAAAGTTCCGTCAAGGTTTCCATATATACTCTATAACTATTCTACTCGTATACTGTTTAATTTGAATCAGTTATATTCTCCTCAGACAACAGACCAAGTTCATGAAAATCGGCTAAATTATATCTGTAATTATTTATAGTTGACAGGCATTTGAAGTCGTTTATTTTGTTAAACTTTAAATATTACGATGACGTCAATTGTCAGTGCCTAATAATATAAGATAAGGAAAATTATTATTTATTAAATTACATACCAATTGTGATACTTAACAGCTGCTATCCATTTTAATTCAATCTCTTGTTTAACGACATTGATGCCCTCGCAAAACTTTCTAAAAACTAATTGAGTTACATACAAATCGTAGTAATCTTCGGCGACTTGCTTCTTCACGATATAATTGTAATGATTCTGCAATGTAAAACATTATTTTAAACATCATCATTGATGTTTTTCATTAATAAAATAAATACATAGATCATAAATTAGGTAATTACTTGATGCAGTCAACGTTTACTAGAACAGTTAAATCGCTTAGTTAAATAATTATATTGCCGTCAATAAATTACACCAGAACACCTATTTCAAGCATCTGATGTCATGAAACCTATATCTCATTAGCTTGTGACTTTCTCATTATCCTAACTAATACAGGTATTTATTTAAACTAGAAATCACATTAAACGAAAGTCAAAAATTTAAAGAACCTTTCCGTTTCAGTCCCTTAAAAAAGAAATCATTGTAATAAACCGTTTTACCTAAAATAGTACGACTTCTTGCATTACAATGTAATCAGAATTTGACAGAATACAAAAGAATACTTTAGCACGCCCTTATTATTTTGTAAAGAAGACGTTCTAGACTTGTTAAATTGTCTTCTCTATTGTCACTAGTTGTCGATTAAAAATTAATATTATTATTATTCTTAACTCGCATACTTTTAGATTAATATTGACGTCCTTAAGACAAGATAGGTTAATAGTAAACATTTTTTTATATATATATATATATATATATATGTATATAATTCTACGTGTACGCGTGTATGACAGTGAACTTTTTTGTATGCGTTTGGGTGGCGCCCTGGATGGTTTAGATGCACAATTCCGGCAGATGGCGCTGTAGTCCGTACTTTCATACTTTGTTTCAAACTCAAACTCAAAATAACTTTATTCATTTAGATTTTAGGTAAACAAGTACAAGTATGAACGTCAGAAAAGAAGTTAAATTTATCCTACATTTAGATTTACTACTTAAATGTTTAATAACCTAATCGCTTGAAATATCATGCAGGACAACGTCTGGCGGGTCCGCTAGTTAATTTATAAAATATATTGCGTCATAAGGAAAATTGTTAATAAAACCCAGAAATAATAATTATTGTATGAGGAACATTCCTACCTTTTTTTTTTAAATATTATGGCAATAGTTTTAACTTTATGCCAGTTTCAAGTAAAAGGTTGGGAAACTACACGCGAGGGGGGCCTCATAGCCTAGCGGTCTTATTAAGTGGCAGCTAGGTGAGGGGTACCGGGTTCGATTCCCGGTTCGAGGGCAAGTTTTAATTTAATTTAAATTTGTTCACGGCCTTTGGGAGGGTTGTGCGATACCGGGCGAGTGCTTAAACCGTACATGGAGGACACGGTCCAATTTCTGAAGACAAGCACGAATTATAAAAAATCCTATACTTGACGCTGGCTAATGCACAAATCATGCCAGAGCCATTAAAAAAAAAAAAACTACACGCGAGAAAAAATAAACAAAGACATCAAAAGGAAATAAAGGGATAAGCTGGTTAAAAACAAAATATGTACACAAAAATATTACATCTTAATATTATTATAGATTATGAAAGAAGATAATACATTATAATACAATAAAGGAATTCCTACCTTCTTTAGAGAATCAAATGCTCGCCTTAAAACCTTTTTTCTATAATGTTCCTCAGCTGTAAAATTTCTCTCAAACCACATATCCTCCGTATAAAACATCCAATGTAAAAATATATTTTTAATTAATTGAAATTTGTAATGCGCCTTCGCTCGATCTAGGTTGTCCCGTTTTATTTGTATTAAAATCTGAAATGGGCGCACACCGTATCGTATCATTAAGCTCTTTTCGTAATGTAAATCGGCCATAACCATTAGTGCTCTCATTCTTTCTGCGTGTTGCTTTTTACGTATGTTTTCAATTTTTTCCTTTCTTCTTTTTTGTTTCAAGTCTTTTATGCGTTTAGTTTTTTCCTCTTTATCCATTTCAGCCTTTGCCAGCTCTGCCTGCGAATGTATAGATACATGTAGGTATACAAAGAAGAAATAAGTGACATATATTAAAATACTAAAAAAGGGCAGAAACATGTCTGGTGTTTCATTTCATTTTAGTAATGGTCGAATTCAAATTCGCTACTTTCTAAATACTATTTCCGTATGACAAATTCAATACGTTTTTGACATGGGAGAGCTAAAATTTAACGGTCAGTCTGACTACCGTATGTCACAAATGCGCGTCTTTTCGTTTCTGAATCTAATTTGGATTTGCTCACGATGCTTCTCCGTTCGAGTAATGTCTAAAATGAAATATAAATTCATTGATGCAATATCACTTAGTTATTATATATTTTACACATTTATAATACAATACCTGCTGCTTTAGTCTTAACTTTTCTTCCTCAATTTGTTTACGCCTTTCTCTTATTACTGCATGTTTTTCGTCTCTTTCGCGCGCTCTTGCTTCCATCCTTTGTAAAAATTTTGGCACTTTTAAACATTGTAAAACCAATGAGGGCTCTGAAAATAAATTTATGTGTGTTGTAGTTTGTAAAGACCTGTAGCTCCCATAGATCTCCATGGTACTCCTCCTGGTGGATCTCCTTACCAAATCTTAATAGGCAAGTTTCATCACTTCCAACCAAATATTATATTTATGCGCTAGCCGCTAATCAAGCTAGGCGGTCATAATTAGGGCAGACGATATAATGTTTACATTAAATTCTGTCTTCCTTATTCTAGTTTACCTTAGCTAGGCTTTGAAACTGATACACAATTTGTAAGAATTGCAATGCATTGGTGTAATAAGTATAAAACTAATACATAATATGTATACGTATATATTACTTTTACGCTTATTAATATTAATGTTACAAAAAAAGGTATGTTCGTGTTTATTTTTTAATTTCTTAACATACACAATTGTGTTATAGTTATATAGCATATAAAACAGAGATCCCATTTGAGTTTACCTTCTATCAATTCTAAAATCTAAAGACAAAACTTGTCTTTGACTAGGTATATCATTTCTAGCCGGTTACCTTCTATTTCCGTAATGTTGAGTTCATTCGTTAAACATTTTATCTTAGGTTTCAAATGTTTGTCGATTTCATAATAGGTTTTCCGCACTTCATCTTTCATACAACTCAATGACTGCTTTGAAGCTTCGATTATTTTATTATATTTCAATTCCTCTATTACTTTATTTTGCTGCTCAAGTTTAGCTTTCTGTAACGCAATTATGTGCTTTTGCATCTTGTACCTGAAATAAATAAATAGGCTAAAAGAACCTTACTAGTTTTTTAATTATTTTCCGATTAAAAAAATTAAAACTATAAATACATCATTGAGAATAAATAATAGTAAATACTCAATTTTACAATTATTTATTGTCAATTTCGTACTACACAACAAGATTTGAAGATTTTAATTATAAATGCAAAAATAACAATTAGGGATATTATAGTATTTTTCTTTTATATCATGCTGGCCTAAGAGAAAAATACTTAACTAGAATCGAAAATAAGTTATACGTATATATTGTGTATGTCCGGTACCTGTGATGATAACTATTGTAATCTCGAACAAGCATTTTAGCTCGATCTTCAGGCTCTATACTGTTTTTGGCTTGTTTGAGTTTATCTAAAAATTTATCAACGGCCTCTTTTCTTGTGTGTTTCAACTTGTTTTCGGTTTTTATTTTTACATACATTTTCCATTTATCAACATATATTCTTGCTATATTGTGTTTATGATCTGTGTTTTCTTTTTTAAAAGAGGAGATTTTTAAAATATCAGTTATTTCCGCATTACGTTCAGTGTCATATTCTTCAAGTTGATTGTCAATTTGTGGATAAAGATAGTTTTCTGTCCGTTCTATGTCACCATCATCCTCGACACTAACGTCATCATTATAATTAGATGAAAGTGTCATCATCACTAAAAGCGATTGCAAATCGTTATTATTACTAAAACTAAAATCATCTACAAAGGTCTCCACATCTTCAAAGGTGTCAACTGTGTTTTGTTTCCTTTGTTTAACCTCCTTTGCTATTTCGTTTTTCTTTAATTTGGGCACTGATTTATCAACATGAAACGCCTGTCGTTTGATCTTTGGTAAAACCTTAAATGTATCGGCGCTTTCAACCTTTAAATCAGATATTTCGTTAAAATTCTGTACAAACGTATCCACTTCGCTTTTTATGAGTTGAAACTCATCGGGTGGTCGGTTGGATATTGGTATATTATTTGGAATCCTGTGTTTCTTCGACATAAGATTATTTTTTGCGTCTATACTTCTAAATATGCTGCGGACTTTTGCGATTTCGTTATTTACAGTAAACGAGTTATTAAATACTTTTCGCTTAAACTTTCTGTAATAAATATATAGCGTTATAATGACTGTATATCTTTTAATATTTCAATAAATGACAATTATTTTGGTACCTACGTACGTTTTTGGATCAGTCTTTGATAAGTGTCTATGAGAGTGTGTGTCCTTCGCCTGTTGAAATAATTAATGAAATTACCTATAATACCTTTATTATCACACATTATATAATTTAAATTGAAAATATATATAGCTACAAATTTGTATCAGTAGGCAGGTCAACCCTGATTCCTGAACTGAAGTTGCAACGAGATAAGCTAAGCTAGTATGTCCTATGATACTTACCATCTCTCTTCTTATCTGTAACCGGAGACTAACGTCTGATGAGACAAAGTCAGGATCATGTCTTGACAATTCATATTCCCTAAAAATATCTTTTGATAAAAGTTCTTCCATTTTATCTTTTACTTTATTGTATATGAAACAAACATATTTTGGGGCATACAAACAGTTTTTAGTAATTTTTTTAAAATAATAAAAATTTCACTTGTTCGTAGGTTGTTAACTCTAACCAAGTCAAGTCTCTTTCTAGAATAAGCTGTGAGCTACGAAGTAACGGTTTGATCAATATATTCGATTGTAGCTAAGATACGCGTCAAGTATCAACCTATACCATACGCTTACCTGACTACAAAGTTTACTAAGAATAATCACTTGTAAATATTAGTAAGGGTTATTACTTTCATTATTTGGTAATACTTACTATTAGAAAAGTAACTTGTGTGGAAATATCTTCCATAACGAAAACCTAGCTGTAATAACTGAGGCTGATCCACATACTATTTAGTACGAATTCTAATTTTATAATTATAAAGCAGATGATAAAACAGTTTTGGATAGCGAAACACTCAAATCTCAATCCATGTTAGGTACGTTGTTCTCTTAAGAAAGTTAGGGTTGGTTAAAACAGATTGCTTGTTAATGTTAGCGATTTAAACTTTTTGTATATTTAGCGTAGCACTACAGTATAAAGCCCCATCCACACGCTTGACAAACAATGGCAAACAGCCAACAGCAATCAGCATACACGAACGTGTGGATGGGTGTTCGTCGTTGTTTGCCTGTTTGTGTTTGTGTTGGGCAGTGTTCGGCATCGGTGTCGGTTTTAGTTGCCAGATCAAAGGATGTTTGGCAAACAGTTTGCTACGTATCCACACGTTTGGCAGCGATCAGTATGGGCGCGAGCTTGCGGGAGGCGGACGTATTTACTTGCTACACTTTCGTTGGCGCGCAAAGCGTAAAAATGTCTGATTGGAGCACCTACGATTCTGACATTTTTAAGTAACTTTTAAGTAAAATTAAAAAAAAACACGGCAAAGTAAAGCTCAAATAATAGGTCTAAAGCCTTGTACGCTTTCTATGTATTTTAATCATCCACCATCGTCTTTGCTTTCTTCTTTTTTTCCTTTTTTCTTTCTGTTGCTTTAATTTATAATAAAAATATGTCAACCCGAAAGTAATAGCTGCAACAAGCTCGTCGTCCGCCATGTTTGCCGATTCGGAATGTTATGAACGTTCGCCAAGCATGTGGATGGCTGTTTGTGTTGGGTGATTGTGGTTGGTGTTTGGGACTTCGTTTGCTTTTTGCGGTGTTTGTGACAAACAGCCAGCGTGTGGATGCCCCATAATAGGTATTCGTTCGTTCATTCTTTGCGACTACACTGCTACCACTCGGAGCTATAAATATCAACTCTAAGTAGTCCCCTAAAAGGCTAGGAGAAGTCGTAACATGCTAATTCCAATCGAATTTGGATGGATTATTTATGATCTTTCAGATACACAGCTTAAGTTAGACATGACGTTTAACTACGAATGACTATTGACTAAGAAGTCATGTGTCAAAAAGTTCTACTACTTTGCCTAATGCTTAACGAATAAAAATGCAGGCAGTAAACATAAACCTGCAAAATATATCTGCATTAGTGGCATTGCATAAGTGCATTGCTGTATTTATTTATTAAGGGTTAGATCCATGTGATTCAGTTTATTATTTATTTTAAACTGCTTTTATAAACCCCAGCCGATGTATCTACCTCTTCATAATGCGCCCGAAAGAAAGTATTTTATTAAGATTCCAATTACAAAGTTGGGATTGTGTACAGTGTCCCTGCCTTTATTTGCATTTATAGTGTGTGTCGTAATCACTATAATGAAAGACTTCGATAAAGCTAATAATACGCATTGTAAAGTACCAAATGTCTTCCCGTCAATATCGGCTTCCATTGGAAATTATGAACCCCAAAGAACAATATGGAAAACTGCCATATACATCCACGCACCGCTGAGGTTCTTCATTATTTATTTACGTTGGGAATATTATAGAAGTATTATTAGTAAATTTTGTATTACTGTGGTCAAATTATCAGTTGCTTTAAATCTAATGGAAAATTTGTCATTATTAGGATTAACATATTGGACTTCATCACTTAATTATCGTAAGTTGAAGTTTTGCTGATTTCTTGTAGGTAGGTATATTCAAACAAACAAACCTAATACATGAAATTCATATTATTTCCAGCATATCATGAAGCCTGCTTCAAAACATTTATTGGAACATCAATATTCTACATGTTCTTCACAAGTATTATGTTGACTAAATATAGACGGCGTCCAGTAGTTTCTCCTTTGGAAACTTATTCTGTAAAACTAAAATGGAGAGCTTTCTTTACCAATGTGGGTTCTTTTGCTTTTGCAGCTTATTTCTTTCTAAGGCATAATCGACTTTGCGAACCATATGGTAAGTATTATGTTATCATAGTATGGATTACTCTGAACTACATGTATTATTTTACTAAAATCTTTTTTTTTTGCAGTATATTCAATGTTTGCATTCTCAGAGTACATAGTAGTTGTCAGTAACATATTATTTCATATGACAACAATATATGACATTAAAGTGCAATATTTGTATTTCACTAGAAAAGGTGTCACAATAGAATGACTCAGGATTATTAACAATATTTTTGTAGTACAAGAAGAAATGAAGGGTTATTATAATTCAAGAACGACTAAGTCATTTAATTTTATATAATGATATACCGGTTATGGAAGATGTGTAGAAAATGAGCCAAGGGTTGTCACAAAAATATTGTATTAGAGTAATCGAAATATCAGAGGCGTCCAGCCTACTAACTTAAAGCCTAATAGCACAAATTTTATTTTATAATATAGCTAAGAATTTACTAATTGTCTCATGAGCAAAATTAATTTTAAATTGCATGAAATGTAATAGTAGTACCTACTTAATTAAATAAATAATAGCTATCTTATTACATGACTGAATGATAACATATTCTATAGAAGACTTGTTTTATTAGGTGTCAATTAAAATAAATATTTAAAAAATTAATTTTATTAGGACTGATTATGACTTTTATGTTATTGTTAAATAAATAAGCAGCTAAAAAATTACCTACTTTCTTGCATTTTTATTCTCATAAAAAGAAATATAAATGGTGAAAGGCTATTGAAACAAGTACAATTCCTTTTTACACTTTATTAGCTCATTATATTGCTTTATTTTATATTATAGTAAAATGTTATAAATAGATTCATTCTAATATATGTATAAATAAAAAAATAATATATAAAATATTATATAAATTAGTATTCTTACCTATATCACATTTCATAATTATAAGTGGAGAGAAATATTTTGCTTATTGTATAAAATAGAAAAAGAATATCATAATTAGGTTTAAAGCTTAAACTCTTTCTTTATTCTGTCTGCTATCATTTGTGCAATAGCTAATGATGATGTGGCTCCAGGGGAAGGGGCATTTCTACAATGTAGTACTCTGCTTCCTATTGCACCAGATCCTGGTTTTGAATCAAATACAAAGTCTTCTATAAGTGTTCCTGAAATAATATGATTAAATATTATATAATATGATTATAAATAATTGATTTGGAAATAATCAATGTTTATATTAATGTTTATTTTAATATTCCTGTATAACATATTTATACATTGCATTTTGATAAGATAGTAGTGTCTACATGAAAATATAGATACCATCTTTGCCCATAGCTTGAGCCCTGACTCCTGCGGGCCCACTCTCCACATCAGCACTTGTTATCTCCTGAATGTATTTTTGTATTTGCTTAACTTGCAAAGGAATGAATATTGACCTGCTCATTTCTTTTAATCCAAATCCAGCATATTTAAAAGCCATTTTTTGAAAGCCAGAGAATGATAATATGTCTTTTAACTCTTTCATGTTATAATCACGCCATCTAAAAAAATTTTTTGTAGCAACACCCTATTTTAAAGAAAAGATGAAATTCATTTAGTTTCTAAAATTGTTCAGCATGTTTAGAAGCTTACCTGTAGCCTTCCTTACAAAAAGCTAAAATTGCATTTGGTCCTAAAATTACACGTCCATCAATTCTTGGTGTTATATGAACACCAAGAAAGGGGAATCTTGGATCTGGCACAGGGTAAATATTAGCTTTAGCAAGATTTTTTTTTCGAGGTAAGAGATATAGATATTCACCTCTAAATGGGATAATTTTTGGTTCTTCGGGACATCCTGTTAATATAGCAACAGTGTCTGAATGCAAACCACAACAGGTAAGAACATATTTTGCCTTAACTGTGTTTTCCTTATTATCAGAAATGACAACAGGATATTCAGAATTTTCACCTTCAAAGAACCTTTTTACTTCAAAGTTTAGATAACTCTTACCCCCGCATTTTTCAAAATCTTTGACATAGTATTGGGTTACTAATCCCCAATCAACAATTCCTGTGTGAGGTGACCATATACCTTGTAGTCCTTTAACATATGGCTCTAATTCCTTCATTTCCTTAGCATCCATTAATTTGAGGTCCTTTACTCCATTTTGCATTCCCCTATCATATAAATCAAGAAGACGTGGCACTTCCATTTTGTCAGATGCTACTATGAGTTTGCCACATTTAGAATATTTAATTCCCTTCTCATCAAAATATTTATATGCCAAATTAAGACCCTTGACACAGAGCTTGGCTTTTAAGGAACCCGGCTTGTAATATATACCTGCATGAATTACACCACTATTGTTTCCACTTTGATGGTAGGCAAATTTATTTTCTTTTTCTATCAAAGCTATTTTTAGGCCTGGATGTCTTAAAGCCAGCTCCCTCGCAGAAGCTGATCCAACAATGCCTCCGCCAACTATAACAAAATCGTAACATGGTTGGGAGCTATGATTATATCTGAAAATATGTTATCGAGTTAAGAAAAATTAATTTGAAGTGGTAAGAAATAAGAAATGTATCTAGATATATACCGTCGGGTATTCAATAAATTATGATTTCTTGAACAGTTTATCGAAAATGTACGAACTTTGAGTAAATGTGCCATTTTATAACTAGTATTACAGACCGATAACAGCACAAAAAGTTAAAACGCAATACAACCTATCAAGACAAACTACAAATATAAAATAAACATCAATGAATTATTAAAAATAAACAACCGGAATTTTTGATTTGTTATGACTTTGTAACAATATGGATATAGTCTATATTTTTCAAAATACAGACTTACCTAAAATTATAGAATAACAAAATCTGCATTAATATTATTTTGTAGTAGTCAATTGTCTGCACTACAATTTACTTAATTTGACTATTCTTTTACCTAGAATTTCCCGAATATATACAAAATATTTTAATCATCGTATTGCAAAATTTGTTTAAAAGGGCATTGTAAATTGTTAACATTTGATGAATATTTGGTTTGGAGAAGACAAGTGCTTGTTTAAAAATGACACATTCTCAATTTTCGTTAACATGGGATTCTCATAAAACTAATATTTGTGGGGGATTTTGTGCTTTGCAACAGGTAAGTGCACACCCTTAAATCTTGTAAACAAGATTTGAAAAACAGTATTTTATAATTAATGTTTCCTAACATCTGCGCTATAGATTGAGCTGCAAACCCTATTTTCTTTGTCTTTAGAATGGAGAATTTGTTGACATGACTTTGGCAGCAGATGGGCATTTTGTTAAAGTGCACCAAGTTATGATAGCCCTTTCCAGCCCATATTTGAAGGAGTTAATTACTTCAGTGCCTTCCACACATCCAGTCATATTCCTCAATGTAAGTGGTTTAAATTATGTTTGCAACAGTTAGAGTTACAGTTAAAGTGTTTAATGTTCTAAATAAAATTCATTCATTTCAGAATGTCTCTCATTCTATTCTTACATTGTTACTGGAATATATATACACAGGAGAGGTAATGGTTCCACCAGCAAGCTTAACAGCCTTTATGGATGCTGGAAAATCACTTCAAATTAAAGGTCTTGAAACTATTGTAAGTATAAACAAAGAATAATGTTAAAAATAATAAAATTTATAACAATCATTTGTGATTCGACTCTTTCTTTTTAGCAAAATGAAAAAATTTCAAAAGCTCAGACTAGTGAACCTAGCTATGATACTCCGGGTTCTGCAAAACGAATGAAAACTGAACATTTTGTACAACAGGTAACCTGTGTTCTTTGAAACAGCCAAAAATCTTTCATCCCATTTATTTTCAATGCTTACTAAGACTCATTTATTCCTAAACTTACATTTATATACTATACATGAAAACAAAACTATTTTTTTCAAGTACTAATTAAATAGTTAAGACATTTGACTGGCTCAATCTTGCTCTATCTTGCATTTTTCTGCCAATCTTCCTCACCAACATTCTTAAGCTCTTAAGAATGACTAATATTTATTAAACAATTATAGGTCTCAAGGTTGCCTATCATAAACAGAAATCTATCTATAAAACCAGAAAGCAATTTAAGTCCAGCTCCAGGGTAAGTCTTAAATGGAATGATGCATTACATTGTTTTAAATAACACAAGTAGATGTGATTTAATAACATCATTGTGGTTTTCAAGCAATATTTTTCTGCACTATAAAATATTTTTTTAAATTTTACTTATTTAAATCAGACCCACTGCCTACACTACCTCCATATTGTGTATGAATATTAAGTTATATGGTTTTACAAATTACAGGAAAATTAATATAAATAATTCAATGAATAGAGATGACGATAATGATTATTCCATGGGATTTGAAACACATGAAGATTCCGTGTGTGAGGATGCACAAGAAGTTAATAAACCTAATGATATTGAAGGTATCTGTAGAAGAAATAACTAAATTTTATTTTAAATTTGAATTGAATGTTTCTATACGGATTTTTTAAAAGTTTTTCTGATTGGGAAGGCCGTTCATTATATATTTTTATTGAAACTAGTGGTTCAACTCATACTTAATGCTTGTTTCCATATTCTAATACGAGTCGTAGTTGCTATTTGCATAGAGATACAGCCGTTGCATTGCTTAGGATACCAAAACTTAGAGGTTCCATACAAATACGACGCTCTTATATTTTATTTCAGTTAAATCATCGAATCTACAATTCACTGTGTCGATTCGGGGCGCTTTGCAAGTTATCTTGAACAGGTATATTTATAATCTACAATCGACACAAAACTCGGGCGTGAAGCGATGGCGGTGCATAGACTACAGAAACATCAAGTGCATGGCTTCCCTTGTCACGAAGGACAATGTTGTGTTAAATAGGTAAGTAAACAAAAAGAAAATTTGAAGTTTAATCAAAGCAATTAGCATTTCCGCTAATCAAACTTTCACTACACCCAGTGGCTCGAATACTCGATCCTTGTAGATTGGAGGAAGTGACTCCTTCTAAAAATTATTTTTTACGCAATTGACCAAAGAGTTCTCATTCTTAATTCAGGCTAAAGTCAATACAATAGTATTTCCTATGCATACAATAATAACATTCAATCTAAATTTATAATATTAGATAAAGGAGACCAATAAACTTTACAAACTAGGTTGTACTCATGCGGTTCTACTGAAGAATTGTTGCCTATGTATATGTATCATGCAATATAATAATTTTATAAACAAAAGTTCTTATATCTTAGATGGTACATATTCCCTACTATCCCGCTGGTTTAATCCGGTTTGAAAAGACGTGCTTAAACCAAAATAAAGACAAAAACATTCATTAAAATATTTCAAATACCAAGCAAAAGATGGAGTTAATAAAAATGTCAAGAGACTTGTACGGTTCCTGGGTCAACGGGAAGCTTTAAATAAAAGAGGATTATTTTCACTCGATATTTCAAGTACAACAAAACAAATGCCATGGTATGCTTATAAAATGCTTAAGGCTATACTCTCGGCGCGTAACTCCGATGATTAAAGTAATCACCACGGTTATAAAACTAAGAGAGCCTGAGTGAACAAAATGTACAGCCTTGAATCGTGCAAGACTAATATCAAATAGTTATAACTTGTAGCATTCTGACCACGTTTGCTGTAAAGCTCTCAAAACTAGTGTAAATTATATAATATACCCAATATATATAATTATGTTAAAGTAGTTTTATTTAAATTGTAAAGTTTACAAACACAACCTGTGTTCAAAAGATAATTTGCCTCTGTTTAATTAATTATATTAGTCTTAAAAATTAAGAATATTCACTTTAAAATACACCTTCATGAATATCAACACTTTACTATATAGCTATATGCACGTCGAGTGCTCTTTAGCATCGTGCCCCGCAAGACACTGTCTATTCTAAAAGCGTCTACACGGCCCTAAAATCAGAGGCAATATCCGGGAAGTGGTGGGGAGCACCCTAGATCGCCTCGTGTGTAGGCAAATCGTACCCTAATTTGAGTATGTTACTGCGGATTCGAACTACGAGCCGATTTCATCCCCACCACCATTGTCCCGATATCGGCACCAATTTTAGGGCCGTAAGTAGACGCTTTAACATTCATCATCTTTGTTAAGTAATAAAATATAGATAAGAAATGTTTATTGTCTCGCTCCGAACTATATTAATTTGTTTCATGAATAGTCCTACATAAAATTATTTGTATTACTCGGGTAAAAACGTACGATTTTTTACTATCGTTAATGTTTAATCTATCTCACTGAATTGTTCCATTTATTTTACATACACTTGTTTAAATGTAAAAAAAAACATTAATATGTAAATATGTACATCTTAATTTAAACCTTTTGTTTACAGATCGAATCCCCACAATCACAGTTTCCATGACAAGAAAATACTTCAAAAGATCGAGAAAAACTCTGTTTACTCAGCCCTGTATGAATTAGAAGCACAACAAGAGAAAGAAAGAGTAAAACAGGACGAAGAGGAAGAAGAAAATATAGAGTTTATAACTAGTGAAATTGTTGGAGATCTGCCCGATTTAGCAGACGTTTCAAAAAACAATTAGTCAATTATTCATTAGTCGTTAATCAAACGCTCTTTTGTTTAATTAAAAATATAATTGTTTCATTATCAGTTGTTTAAAACGTTCATTTTACGTAAATATGATACATTTTATTTTTTCTTACTAGTGTTGGTTAGTATATAAATGGAAAAAGACCAAAAAATAAAACATATTTCCTTTATCGTTTTTCATTTTTCCCAGTTAAAAATATCTATTTTAGTTTATAGGATATTTACTAAAGAAGAAGCCATAGGTGGAAGATAGTTTAGAATAAGCAATATATAATTGATAAGTATGTCAGTTGATCGGCAATTAATTTTATCATATTATGTTAGTGTAATAATATATTTCAAATTTATATTACATTCTAGTATAACATTCTGTACAAAGCGCCTGAGCGGTCGTGACAGTGTTTATTCGGAATTTATTTAATTAATATAATTAACGGTATACGGTAATAAAAATGAAGTTTTTGTGGCTACTACTGCTAGTAAAGGACATATTGTGTCTCTACACACATACGAGCTTATTAAAGGGTTTGACAGATAATAACTTATTGGCTGTGCAACATCTTCAAGAATATATTCGGATTGATTCAAGCAAAACGGAGAATTATGGTTTGTGTTCAATAATTAAATTATTTATATTAATTAATAAATAAATATATAAATAATATATATAATAATAATTAATTAATAAATAATATTGTAACTGAGTTAGCAACCAAAGTAATTGTTTATACTTTTAGACTGGAGGCTTCATCTCACGTCAAATAACTTGTCTGTAATCTATTCTATATTTCTTACCTACCGTTCTATTCATAGCCTAATCATCTTAATAAGGATTCATCAGGGAAACATATTTTTTAGCTCGGAGTTTTGAATGGTTATTATAATTTGGCCTACGGCGGTTGTAATAATTACTTAAGGTCATTCGCACACGCAAGCTCCTGCTTTTTTATTCGTTTATGATTACGTACTATGGTCAAGTTATGATCTCACTATTATTAATTGACACTAATAATAATACGTTAGTACAATGTAATTAATAAACCCAGCTGAGTAAATACAATTAGATCTCATATGAAGCAACATTTAATACCTATTTGTGTTATGTGGTAAATATAATTTAAATTTAATATAACATGGTATAACTTATATATATTTAATTTTACAGCCTAATTATTCAATGATTCACAAAAGTCAATTTTTTAAGAAAATCAAATTTGTTTCAAAATAATGCAGGTTACGGAGGTCTATCCAATTAAATAAGCTTTTAATCACAAGCATTTTTTAATAGAATTGCCCTTGCTATAATTCGATTTTAATAAATATCTCATGTTATAGTAAGATGTTTTCTTTAAAGATACTTAATCATTTTGTGAAGCACAATGGCCATTAGCAGGAAATAACAAAAATTGCATATTATGTCTTAACGTCGGATCTTAAAATTATTAAATTCACATGTTATTCTGTACGAATATGTTCATACGTATGGCATTGTGATAACAATAAAGATTTTCTAAAGGTGGTTAAACAAAACACTAACAATATATATTATAAATATTCGTTTTTTTTCTGTTAGAATTTATTAATTACATCATTAGGTAAAAATTAATTCGTTCGAAAAGTGAATCTTTTTATTTTTAATGTACTTAATATTAATTTTCTATATGCAAAGACAATATATAATCATACCTAAATATGTCGAAAGCATCGTGCCAGAACTTAACTATATAAATAAATTCGCCTTTTTATTAATTATTTTTATAACAAATTAAAAATTACCGACTGAGATATAGAAACACTTTTCTTCGAACGTCTTGTGTTAGTTTCCACGTCTTCTTACAGATTCAGTGGTAGAATTTTGGCAACGATTGGCAGATGAGATAAACCTACCGTTGACAGTTAATCGCCCAGCAGGTTTTCCTGTCTGTATACTTACATGGATTGGAGCCAAGCCCGACCTGCCTAGTATCATGCTGAACACACACTCTGACGTTGTTCCTGCCTACGATGTATGCTATAGTATTTTTTTTTTAATTTCTTTATTTTACAAAATATATACATAATACAATTATAATGTTACATTAGAAAACCGCTGTGGTTTGTATTAATGTAACTATAGCAGTCCTGTTTAGGAGCGCGACAAATGCATATAAAAATAGTTTTTTAATTTACTGTTTTTGTTGGTTGGCGTTAGGCAATCTAATATCTGATTGGGTAGACCATTTATTAGCCGCGGTAGATAATACCTCTACGTTCTCTCGCCGTATACGTTGTTTGCTCTCGATGTACAGAGCCGAACTTGCGTTACCGTTCGGGTCTGTACGTCATGCTCCACTCGTTTTTTTTATGTCATCTCGAAAAAAGTATATATATATATCTCTTGTACATCATATGTAGGTATATTCGATCTGACTTAATTCGCCTCTTATTGTGCCGGGTTGCGACTGAGGGAATATCATTTTGTGACCAAGCTATTCTGAGTATTTAATTTCTGTCTTGAAAGAACGAGGTGTGGCCGTAACCTTAATACTTTTGGAAGTTGAATCAGTGTTTGGTGAACAAGAAAGACGTCCACCCCATTCGTCAGTGGATATTGAAACTTTAATACTATGTAAAAAGATAGGTTGTAGAAAAAAAGTTTTTTTTTCATAGAATTTATGGAAGTACCCACCGTTTGCGGCAGTTATTGATGACAACGGAGACTTGTATGGGCGCGGGGCCCAAGACACAAAATCCCTAGCAATTCAACATTTTGAGGCGATCAAAGAGCTGAAAAACAATAATATCACTTTACAGAGGACTATTCATCTTACGGTTTTGCCAGGTTAATTTTTATCTACGAATTTTTAATGAAATATGTATAATGATGATGATGTTAAGTAATACCGCCGCCCATGGACACTCGCACTGCCAGAAGGCTTGCAAGCGCGCTGCCGGCCTTTTAAGAATTGGTACGCCTTTTCTTGAAGGACTCTAAGTCGAATTGGTTCGGAAATTCTTCCGTGGGCAGCTGGTTCCACATAGTGGTGGTGCGCGCAGAAATTGCCTTAAGAAACCTAGAAGAATTGTAGTGTGGCTAGTGCACTTATCCATTTTTATTATGTTTTTTTTTTCAAATGTGTAGGTAATATAACCAATACACCAAAGTTCTCTCATTAACATTACAGATGAAGAAAATGGAGGCTTTCGTGGTATTAAGGCGTTCATAAAAAGTGATGATTTTAAAAGACTTAACGTCGGTTTTGTGCTTGATGAAGGTCTGACGTCACCTGACAACACTTATCTTGCTACGTACTTGGACAGACGACCTTGGCGTAAGTTATTGCACAATAACCCTACCCAGAAATGTTCATTAAGAGTTACCCTCGACATATATATACATAGGAACTTCACGGTTTTCTTAAATTAGTTAATTATTATGATAATAATATTGATTTATTTGCAAGAATATGGTACAAAGATATTATGGTGGTACAATCTACACTTCGCATATTCTGCCGCACATAAGTCTTACATAATTAAAAGGTAGAATTTTACATAGTAGTTACATATTACATTACATCAATTATACATGTATAGTAAGTTTTGCGAAGATGAACTGCACTGTTCTATAATCTTCCAAAATATGTTGAACACAATACAACCACTCTATGGACGGCCCTGTATAGCTATAGCTTCTTTTTTAAGTTGATTTTAATTATCAATTGTTTCGTGTAAATTATTGTAATTATGTCTTTTTATCATATATATTATTCAAATTGAGTTTTTGCAGTTGTTTAAATGTATTTTATATGGCTTGATACAAACGAGTTTTATAGAATGAAACCATTACTCATAAACGTAAGTTTTAATTCAAATTTTATATTACTGGAATCACTGCAAAGAAATATGTGACATAACATAATTTAAATAATGAATCAAAACCTAGCCTTTAAATGATTACGTATCTAAGTACTGAAGGAACTTAACTACTTTAAAATGTAATTTATTTATTTAGGAAGCAAAAAAAGATACATCTCTATAAAATAAAAAGTAAAACATAAAATTAACACATTGGATATATTCACAAAAAGTTTCACTGATAAATATATATAGATACTTATGTTAAAAAAGAAAGATGCTAGGGTTAGGACACTAATAGTTGTATTTTATTCTTAAATGAAACAGTAGAGGAGTGCAAAAAAGGTCGATATTAGTGGCAGAATCCAACGTAGAACACATTCTGTGAAGAGGCTCGCGGTACCCGATTTTGGTTTTGGGGGTCAGAAGGTTAAAGGTTATAAGGATAATATTTTGATTTCAGAAATAAATATGACATTTTATGGGCAAGGGGGACATGGCTCGCAAATTGCGGACAAAGGTGTTATTGAGAAGGTAATTTCAAAAGTTAAAATTCTATATTGCGATTCTATTCTATATTGCGAGTTTCACAAAGAAGTATATTGATTTGGCGTATCTTGGTTCTTTTTCCTCAGCCCCTGCGCAGTTCTTTAGAATTTCGAAAGAAATTCTTCGAAGTATCGGACAGATTAATTTTTAAATTTCAGTGTTTTATTGTATTTTGTCCGTTATTACTAATATTACCTTTTCGGACATTCCGGACACAATTCAAACAAAATTCGTGGCGAATTGAACCTTATATCATCCGGATTACATGCTGAATCTTACCAACTAAATCTGCCACCATAAAAGACAAAGTTGAGATCTAAATAAATGCTATATTTATCAATAAAAATAAATAAATAAGGTTGACCTTTTAAAGGTCAAACTACAATTTACACAATTACCATATGCGCTACGACAGTTACACTAATTTTAATACAACAATTTCAGCTTGATTACATATTGAATTATACTTTACAATATCAAAAGGAGCAAAAAGAAGTAATGGCGAGAGGCAATAATGCAAGGTTGGGACGATTCACTACTATGAATGTCAATATTGTTAAGGTAACTACAATATATAAAGAAATATCATCTGAGTTCGACCGTTCGTTGGGAGATACTTTCAAACCATGAGACCAAATATTTTACTTTCATTTAAATTTTCAGTTACATCACATTGGCGTTGAATTCTAGAAATAAATTCTACTAATTAACAATTATAATCGCTTAATGTATGTATATTTCAAAAAAGGTATAGTATACCGCAATCTCCCCGTTCCGTTTTTATTTTCTTTATTTTTTTTCTTACTAAATTTATCACAGAAAATACAGAATCATTAATTTCTAATTAGACGTTTCAAACAATGGGTTACCAAATTTAATCTGATATTTTTGCATTACTATATGTGTACTATTTAAAGCGTACGAAAACCGGTGCAGAGAATTTTAAAAAGGGACTATTTCACTAATATAGCCTATTTATATCGACCAAAGTTATATTGATAAATTATTTTATTACGCGCAGGCAAATGCGGAAAGTATAAAAAATCTCTGTTTATTTAATCCAGCTATGTAATTAAGTATGACACCGTGTATAAGTTAGTTATTTAATCATTTATATATAATTATATCAAATATGCATTTGTTGCAGACAGGAATAGCAACAAACGTTCTACCGAGCCTTGTAAATGTGGTCATTGATATGAGACTGGCTTCCGACGTTAACATCTCTGATATACAACAAATGGTAAAACTAAATCTTATAATCATACATTTTTATTTACAATGTTAATGTCCATTTATTTCTTGTACTTACCCCCATTTGGTATTTAAAACAATTTAACCAAGTTTATTTATTTATTCACTAAAATACAGTACTAAACCAATTCAATATGTTAAAAAAATTAAATATAAAATCTTAATATATATAAATTACGTGTCACGTTGTTTGTCCTCTATGGACTCCTAAACTACCGAACCGATATCAATCAAATTTGCACACCGTGTGCAGTTTGATCTAACTTAAAAGATAGGATAGCTTACATCTCAATTTATACTCGCAATGTAATTTTATTGCAAATTATTTGTTTATTATTTAACACAATTCTAACAGATGGCGCTGTGTTTAAAAGTACCAACGTTTCACATAAGCTACAATTTAATGGCATAACAACCATAAAGCATGGTGGACCCCATGACTGGTGTTCTCCTACCGTTTCCCTTGAATAGGTTACCACTATGTAAGATAACTAAAACCTTAGCCACAGCAACGCTTGGCCGGTCTGCTAGTATTATATACATATATAATATCGCCACTGTGAAGTCACTCTGCGAACATATAAAAATGTCGATAGTGTCGGAAACAGCATTCAGTAATCGCATCGTATCGTAAGTAGGTAAGTTCTTCGACACTTTGGTAAATGGGATTACTTAGGGGACAATTGATTAAAATATATGAGATAAATTAAATCTTCGAAGTCCATCTCTCCAATGTAGCTATACTAAGGCATTAATGTAGTATTAACGCTGCCTTATATAGGACCCCTATATGCTGCTGATGTCGAAACTATTTTCATTCTGTAGAAGAGATCTATTCATGCAATCTATAATTTAAAATGTAGAGAATCTCTGAGATATAAATTCAAGGAAATTAATATACTTACCTTTCCCTCGCAATATATTTATGAAAATATTATGTATGTATGCAAAAATAGTGATAAGTTCACTAGAATAGAACATACTCACAATGTTTATACTCGGAACAATCGCAGGCTGCAATTTCCCTGTACTAGACTATCTAAAGTTAGGGATACTCTTCTTTAATAAAATCCAAGAGGCCCTTTAATAAATTTAAGAAAAGTATTAAAGAATAGCTGCGTAAAAAGGCATTAGTAAGCCTTTTTACGCAGCTTTTCTTAAATATTTACTTTTTTACTATTAAGTTAACGATTATCTAGTTGATAAAAGGGCCTGGGACTAGTGCTAGACAGGTTACTTCTAATTAATTTGCGATATTTGTTTTAAATAAGTGTTGTTTGATGATTTGCTATTTTAAAAGAGTACCTACCGAGAGTTTTTTACGCCGGTTTTTTCTCTCGGCCTACACCCTCTGTCTTCTTTGCCGATGAGTAGGGATGCCCACCTCTTCAAATTTAATGACGTCTAATAAGTGAGACATGTATCTTATATTCCATAATAAACATTTTACAATTACAATATTATAGCTTGTATTTACACAGATTGACACGTGGCAAAATGTGACGGGTCCAGGAACAACTGTGGAGTACCTCCGTCGTGATGAAGTGTCGCCTGCAACGAGTCTAGCCGACAACTGTTATTGGAATGCTATGCTGGAGGCTGCCACGGAGATGTAAGACATAATTTATTTAAAAAAACCAACAATATAAATAGTAAAATAATTAATGTGTTGAATTGTCAAGCATGTCACTTCTTAATCTGACCTTGTCTTGCACCAATAAATTTGTTATTCTATGTGCGTACTTGGTCATATGATGGTAGAAAACATCGTAAAGAAATATGTGACCCAAGACCTACGAATTAGGGATACATTGCAAGCCTGTAAATAAAAATTATCAATGGCACACGAAATGACATACAAAATAGAAATGTGTCTGCCTTGTATCCCATTTGGGGGATTTCGAGATTTCCTACAAAATAAGTAACTTAAATGTAAAGTTTATTTCAGGAATATTACCATAAAACCGGTGGTGTTGACTGCCACTTCAGACATGGTGGTCGTAAGAAAACTTGGGATCCCGGCGATTGGTTTTAATCCTAGCATAAACACGATTTTACGTATACATAATAACGATGAATATGTCAACATTGAAACATTCATACAAGGCATTCAAGTTGTCAAAAATATTGTTATGAAATTGAGCAATGTACCAGGATAATAATGAGTACTTAATTTATTTAATTTTTAAATAAGTTTAAAAATTATGTCGAACACTACTATGTTACTAATGGAAAGTACTAATAATAATCCAGTGGCACTAAAAACTAAAACTAATGGGTAAATGGGTCTTGGCCGCAGATTGTATCATCTTTGATCATTCTTAATTTCATGGACAAGTAGGTGATCAGCCTTCTGTACCATACATGTTTGGGTTGGCAGACTTGCCGGTTTTCTCATATTTACCTTCAGCGACGGAGCAACATTAATTGCGGTCATAGAAAAATCTATTCGTGCACAGCCGTGATTCGCACACACGACCTCAGGGTTGGGAGTACGCTTACGCCACTAGGTCACCACAATTATCGACAATTCAATAATATACAAAAGTAACGGATGTATAAACTTTTAAATTTATAATATAACTAATCCTAGTGGATAGTATTTACAATTTTCTTAACCTACAAAGTAATAAGAAAAATAAATTAAAAATTATTAAAAATAAAATCAAAACAAATTCAAAAAGTTTGGTCCCTGTACCTTTAACGCTGGCAGCATTTCCTCGCTGTATTGCGATACTTATTCGTTGAGCCAGGAAAGTGCCAGCTCTGGGGTCATCGGTACTATCTACCAGGCGCCAACTTAAATCTTTAATAAGCGCCTGTGCACTTGAACCCCACAGCCCAAGAGTCTCTACTCCAAAGGGAACAAAATCAAAGTTGGAGGAAAGACAATACAATACGGATATATTGCATATATCAACTTCGGGCCAATATATGGTGTACATTTCAGTAGACTCTAAACATAATATCAAGTAGTTATCTGTCAACTTAATGCGGCAGTATCTCGACCTCCATTCAAAGCATTGTGAACGTGGAGAGATGTGAATAATGTAACGAACTCGCGATATCCGTTAAAGAAGTTTCAGCGAGTGACTCTCATCCCTGAGGTCGTAGACTCGAACCCCTGTGCACTAAAGGACTTTCCGTATATGTGCAAAACACTCATAGTGTGAAGTAAAATATCGTAAAGAAACCGACATGCCTTCGACCCAAAAGTCTATAGCGCGTGTAGACTAACTTGCCTATTAAAAAGAAACCAAAGATCGAAACAGATACATAATTCTGAGACCCAGACCTAAAAAAGTTAAAAGTTTGTAGCGCCACTGGTTCTTTTATATATAAGGATAAAATACTTACTACTTACATATTTAACGAAAAACAAATAAAAATATATTTTAAAACTACTGTATTTTATTACATTACATATTACGAAAATATAAAAGATTAGGTCATAATACCAAGTGTTAAAAACGTTAAAAAATTTATGAAAAAATTTATCAAATGTTTTGACAGCTTAAAAAAATAGGCTTTATATAGAGATATATAGAGATAAAAGATATATTGAATCGAATGCATATTGAACGGGATTTCACTTTAGTAATCAATTAGCTAATTTGCTATGCTATAATTCGCCTGTCTAATGTAGCGCGAAATGTAAACTTAATTCTTACCCAGAGCTACTGTAGTAAAATACAATTCAAGTGATTTTATTACAAGAAATTTTAGCATAAGAAAATTATGTATTGTGAAGTTGATGTAGATCGCTAAATCAACAGCGCGCGGTGCTCCACTGTAATGGGCGCCTCGTACGTGCCGCAACATTTTTAAAAGGACTTTTTCGCAGCCGCCGCTCTCTGTTTGCCGAGCGTCGGCGGATTTGAGAATAGTCACGCTTTTAGCGAACAAATGAATTCTCTGGAACAATTGGGATTCGTTGAGTAAACTGTTTAGCGTCCAATTGAGGAAAAATTGTTACTTCCATAAAAGGATCGCGGAAATATGTAAATTTAGATCTGATTATTAAAAAAAAAAACATACTGAATGAACGATGAAACTATATGATTATTTTGTTCTAAAGCGCGTCTCAATTATTTATCTGAGTTTGATTTGTGATACAGTAGAGCTGGGGGCGGGTAGGCGTTAATTGAAATAAATTGTCACGGCGAACGGCGGCGGGACATAAATCAGAGTGCCGCGGGCTACGAGCTAAGTGCCTGCTACGATACGCTACGCCGTAGCAACATAGATATTAACTGCACTTTCAAATGTTATATAGTAATTATCAATAATACATTTCGCTGTATTTGCCTACTTATATCCAACAAGAGGTCTTTAAGTAACTATCGATTTCTTGTAACTTGTAAGTAATTGCTTCCTCAACCGTTGAGAGGCTTTACCATTATTATAGACAAAACCTTTATTTATTACATGCCGTACAAATAACTTTTTATTGGTAAGTAAAATAATAAGCCCATCTATGTCATTGATAGGTCTATGTGAAGGATGACGCAAGACACCGCGAGACGAATTAATTGAGCTGAAGGCGGTGAGCAGCGTCATGTCCGAAGTGCTCGTTTGTCACCGCGCCAGGTGACGCTTTACCGACCGAGGGGCGCAACTTACGCCCCTCGATCACAATATGTTTGGATACGGCACTTGTTTTTATCTATTGAAGTTATACTTCTTTTGGCGCGTTAGGGAAAAATGGTGAGCGTAAATTTTTACGATGTGCGCGCACACCGTCACAAAAAACCGACACCCTGAAGTTAGCATAGTCAACATTTTAATATAAAAAATGTCCAATTCTTTAATTATGTACAAATTTTTCTTTTTTGTGATATTTAAATATACTTTATTTAATTAGATAATGCGTTATAATAAAACTTTCAATATATTAAATACCTTCTTTCTATTGTTAGACTATAGAGTCCTTTTTTCTACCAACGTAGAATAAGGTGAAAGATAAAAAAAAATAAAAATGATTTTTATCTTGTTACGCCACAGAAGTATAACTTCTAACGTATGTACACACACATGTTTTATCTAAATTTATTGTCTTTGATCAATTAAAATCCCTGTTTGGTATTTTAATAATCACCTTACATTAAACAACGGTAAGTTGTAGACAAGCTATGATTGCAAGCTCTTTAGGGAAGAGATAAACGTAAGCGTAACGTACCTTGGCCTGTATCTTCCACTATGAAAGATGTATCCAAAAACCTGTCTAACTAGTTACACTAACACTTCTAATCCCTCAGTGATTTACGGTCAAAACCGAGTGCGTCTATTTGATTAAGATATTACGTATTTTTATTCAAAACATTCTTGTACTATTGTAAATTGGTTAATCTATATATATAAAAGAAAAATGGTCTTCGTTTGAGGCTCCTTCACGCCTAAACCACTGATCGTATCGACATGAAACTACCACCATTCGATGCGAAATTTTTCTAAATTTTTAAAAAAAATGGTTTATGGCTATTTATTTATTAAATTCCAACGTTCCTTCATTTTTTTATTGCTGTTTTACTTTTATGAAAATTTATCCATACGGACTTCACCGCGGAAACATTCGGGGAGGCTTCCTAGAACCTCTAAACGTCAACATCTGTTAAAAACTCGATTTTCGAAATATTTCAATTTTCTTAGCGGGAAGTTAAAAAGAAGAATAATAAAAATATGAAAAAAAAATTAAATAATGAAACATAAAATTTATTTTAATTCGTCCAGCAAAGCGGGCGCGAAACGGCTAGTATAAAATAAAAACAAAGTACGGTTATTATCCGGTATTACCTCCTCCAAAACTCAGTTCTTATATAAAATAGGAAATGGAAGAAACGCGAAGCACGAATCACGATACTGAATGAGTTGTACTTTTGAGTGTGACGATATATTTTGTCGCTTAAGACGGGGCTTCACGAAAGGTTCAGACCTTTTACGCATTCTAAACAAGGATAAATGATTCATCATTTACACAAAACAATACCGCTACATTAAACCTAAGTGGAGTATATTCATACAACATTCTGTATGCAGGTAAAATATTTATCGAGGTACTAGGTACGAGGTAAGGATGTAAACGTTTTGGTAATTATTTTTATACGAATTAGAATACTGTAACAATCTTCTTCTTCTGTAAAAGTTACAGTAGAAAGCATTTATTTAGTCAAATCAAATCAAAATCATTTATTCATTTAGGTAACACCATGTAGAGTGTACACTTATGAACGACAAAAATAAATATATATTAAATGCTTCTAATTTTACATTTATTGCCAGTTCCCAAATCAAGGGCGTAGAACGGAAGAGAAGAACTGGCAATAAACTGTCCACCGCTCTTTTTAATCGCCAATTTTTTTTTCATGCGTTCATCCGTTTTGAAACACTATCTTATATATTAGGTCCTTACATATGAAATTGGCGTATTTCGTACTGGCCACTTTAATCACGACGATTCTCCTCTTTGGTAAGGAATTCCAAATTCAAATTTGTACAGCTATTTACTCATGTATTTGTGCTTCGATGACCGTCATTCATTTGTTTTTTCTTCTGTTTTTTTCTGTTTGCGTCACTCATTTTACAAAATGGAAAACTTCAAGTATCGCATTATTTACGAGATCGAGTTCCGCCGTGGCACTAGTGCTGCGGAAACGACTCGAAGGGTGAATGATGTGTATGGCGGTCATGTTGCAAAAGAAAACACAGTTCGTTTTTGGTTCAAACGTTTTCGTTCTGGAAATTTCGACCTGCAGAACAAGCCCCGTGGACGGCCTGAGACCCAAGTTGATAATGAAGTATTGAAGGCTATTGTGGAAGCGGATCCATCGCAAACCACGTCCGAGTTAGCTGCAGGCTGCGGTGTTAGTGATTAAACTATTTTAATTCACTTGAAGCAAATTGGGAAGATTAAAAAGCTTGAAAGATGGGTACCTCACGAATTGACTGAAGCAAACCGGCAAACGCGCGTCGACTGCTGCGTTACATTACTGAACCGGCACAATAATGAAGGTATTTTAAACCGAATCATTACCTGTGACGAAAAATGGATTCTTTACGATAATCGAAAGCGCTCAGCGCAATGGTTGGATCCTGGCCAGCCAGCCAAATCCTGCCCCAAGCGAAAATTAACCCCAAAAAGTTACTTGTAAGCGTTTGGTGG